GATATCATAAATATTGATATTTTTTATCTATAATTAATTAAGTTTAAGATACTAAACCATGATATTGCGCTAGAATTGCATTTTTTTGACATGACCCACTTGACACCCCTATCGCAACTCCTATTCCTCTTCCGTTGACAAACACGACCATGCGGCCACTTGAGGGAGGGACTCTGAAATTTAGCTTATCGACATCTTGATCCGCTTTGTGTCTTCTTGCTAGAGTGATTTGTTGTGAGAAAAAAGCACTATTTATTCATTTGAAAATGAACAAATAAACACTTATACGATAGTAGTTCGAGTTTTTTTCGGATCGATAAGAAGAAATAAAAGAGGGATCAGGAAGAAAAAAAGGAAAGAAGAATAAGAAAACTTCCTTGCAGCTTGTTATGTGATCTTATCTTTTCAACTTCTTTTTTTTTGCCAAAATTTCGGCATAAAAACCTTCCATGTAGAATTCTTGGAGCAACTCCAGCGGTAGCCCTAAAAATAGGACCCTTACTTTTTATTTCAGGACTCTTTTTCTGAGTTGCACTCCAACAAAAACCCTCAAAATAGGACCCTCATTCACTCTAACAGAGAATGATACATATGACCCACTTGACACCCTCTTTCCTTTCTTCTTCCTCTATCATCTTCTTTGATCCTCAACAAGATATACAATTTTACATAGCTCATTTTCTCATTTGAGAAAGTTTTAAAAACTCTAGTCACAAATTCGACCATGCAACAGCGTCAAATTTGAACTATATTTTGTTCAGGGACTCTGGCTGGCCTAGGGAATATCTTGATGAGGAGCAATCTAGGGTTCAAAACTAGTTTATGCGCACAAATTTGAACCTCTCTCAAATGCAGATCTTGATGAGTTGGGTATTCAAAACTTTTCAATTTGAAGTCATTTAGAGTTCATAATACTAGAGTCAAAGTGTTGTTTTTCATTTGACCAAATTTGACTTGGTCAAACTTGCTGGGAGGGAAGCCACTCATTTGAGAAAGTTTTATCAAACACTAGAGAATCTGGGACTTTACGAAAACGCACACACTTGTACATCTTCCTATATAAGGATTGTAGAGATCCTTGGTATTCAAAACTTTTCAATTTGAGACAATCTAGGGTTCGAAAACTGTGTCTTCTTGCTAGAGTGCCATGTGGATGGGGATAAACTTGGTATTCAAAACTTTTCAATTTGAAGTCATTTAGAGTTCATAATACTAGAGTCAAAGTGTTATTTTTCATTTGACCAAAGTGGGTGACGCATGGAGACATAAATGACTTCAGATGAAAAAACTCTGAATACCAAGTTTGATCATCTCAACAAGATATACAAGCCCAGGGAAGCAAACACTGGTGAGCACGGGTTTGAACTACATTTTGTTCACGAGTGGGCCTAAAAGAAGATCTTGCCATGACCATGTACATGAGACCCATGTCGTGAAAACGGTGATTTGAGGGCTTGGACCTTATTTATCTCTTTAGTCTTTCGACCGAATCTAGATGGATTAGGACTCATAGAGTGTGTAATGGGGCCCTCTCTAATTTGAGGGGTCTATACTAGTAGAGACCCGTTGTGCACCTTTTCACTCTTATCCTTGAAAAGTTATGCAGTTTTTCACTCTCAACCTTGAAAAGTAGGACGACGATTCAAGTAGGAGCCATGCTAGAATTGCTCTAGGCTAAAAAAAAGCCAATACATAATCTTTTCGCTCTATCCTCCACTTTGTTAGTAGAGACCCGTTGTGCACTTTTTTCACTCTTAGATGTTATGCAGTTTTTTCACTTTGAGCCTTGAAAAGCAGGACGACGACTTAGGAGCCATGCTAGTTATGAAAAAAATACATAATCTTTTACTCTAGATTCACTTTGTTGGCTGATAAAAATCATTCAAACGAACAGGGCCGAAAAGTTCAAACAAAAAACAAAGAAAACTGCCATTCAAAGCCAAGCTGTTGCTTCATGATGATCACTTTCGCTCCACATGGGACAAGAGGGCCATAAAAAGGTGAAGTCACAAACAAGTGACGGGGAGATCAATAATCAATAATAAAATAAACAAGAAAAGAAGGAGACGCATGAACCCATTAGCAACTAAAAAGCCTTGGCAAAAGGCAACTGATAGTGCCCACTCAGTCACACGGCTTGCTAACCTTTCCCCCACCATGCATGGTGACTGACTAAAACGTATTACCTACGACCCCTGCAGCAGCAGCGGTATGGCCACCGAATCATTCAGTGACAAGTGGACCCCCTGAAAGCCAAGTTTATCTGCGGCCGTCTGAGAAGGATGTTGATGCTGATGCAACAGGCCACCAACGAACGCCTCCTCTCCATGTCAATATAAGACAAAAATAGTGCGAGACCTTATCTTTTTGTCACATGGAAAGGGGCTTTAAACTATCGCCATGCCTTTTTGAAAAGCTTTTAGTGACCCAGCATGATCGGATAAACAAACCGATCGAGGGAGGGCTGCGAAGTACAGATCAAAGTTAATAATAGACCCAACTTGATGGATTAAACAAGACTGGCCATGGCTACACGTACCCCGCGATAAACGAGTCGATGCGTCCCTGATAGACGGGCCCGCGTCTAACAACACCAGATCCTTCTGGTGAGCTGGTGATTGGCAGTCTAAGACCCTGTTTGGTACAGATTCTTGGCCGGCTCCTGAATCCGTTTTTCAGCTCCACCTGTCAAACACCTCTGACCTACTCAGATCTTAGGAAGAAGCCCCGAAATTCTTGCTGAGACAAGGGAGGGGAGAGAGTAGGAGCTGAAATTTGTGGCTTCTTCCAGCTTCCTCTAGCGGTAGCGGGCCCCATCGCGGCCATGGGTCTCTTTTGCCCCCCCAAGCGTCGGCCGAGGGCGGCGGCGTCGTCTCTTTGGACACCGGCGCGCCGGATCCGCCGAACCGGGAGCGGGCAAGGCGAGGCGACGGCAGGTCTTGAGGCGCGCTGTAGAGAGGTTGTGGGCGCAGCGGCGAGAGATCTTGGGCGGGGGCTAGGGCGATGCGCGCTGCTCGGGAGGCACAGGAGCCATGGCCTCGACACGGGGAGGCGCGACGAAGCCGACGCACGGGGAAGAGGAACAGGGGAGCAACGACCTACGCGAGGCCTATCTGTGTGCGGGGTGATAAGGTAGAGATAAGGTAGTGAGAAAAAGATTAAATAAAAAGAAATAAAAGGAGAGAAAAAAAGAAAAAAAAAGGTATTCTGAACATTTCATCCATTTTCATCATAAGGAGAAGCTGTTTTGTCAAACGGTCTAAAAAAACAGATTCAGCTCCTCATGTGAATCTGCTCCACAGATGAAGCCACAACTAAAGCTGTTTTGGCTGTAGTCGGAGCTCTACCAAAAGGGCCCTAATTCGCTGGAAAAGAGTTTCAGGGGTACAATTTTCTCAGGGGGACTCAGGCAGGCCGGCCTCTAATCAGCACTTAAACATTATTACTAATAATAATATAAACAAGCATGGAATGTTTCCAAGTTGATTCGAGTTGGTGATCTGCCACATCAGTGTGGGCCCGCAATTAGGCCAAAAAGTGGCCATTTGGTTTTGGACCAGGAGGAGGGATTTTTCCATGGAGAAAACAAGAAGATGCCTCAGTTCCAAATAAGTGTGGTGTTGGTGGATCAAGCCATGCCACATGGCTCTTAGACTAGGTGTGGGTGGCAGGGCATCACCTAATTGGCCACATGACACACCAAAGGTAAAACAAAATATCTGATGATTTTATTTTCTTTTATTTTTCGGAAATAAACTCAAGAGGAAGCAACAGGTGTAAAAAAGACGAACCACAGCATAAAGTGGTAGTAGTGATCTTGTGTGGTCAACCTTTAACCTCTCAAAAAGGGATATAAAGGAGAAATGTTGTCATATGTAAAGTAGTGAGAAACCAGGAACACCTTTATGTACTTACTTTTAAAACATTTTTTTGGGAATGATTGGAAATTAGGTTTTGACATGGACCGCAGCATGGCTGAGATTCATCACTCAGCTCAACCTTGAAAACGATATACGAAAATGGGAACTAGGAGAAATGTGATTAAAAAAATAGAAGTCAGCAATAGCAATAAACTTTTTCGAACAAAAACAGAGGGACCACACGTGTTTCTTCATTTAATCTATTTGACCTTACTATTCTGCAGCAGAAAGACAAGTATGAATATGACCTTGTTTAGTTCATCCCAAAAGTTTACATCCTATTCCATCGAACGTTTGGACACATGCATGTAGTATTAAATATAGTAAAAAAATAACTAATTACACAGATTACGACTACTTTGCGGAACGAATCTTTTAAGCCTAATTAGTCCATGATTTGACAATAAAGTGCTACATTAACACATGTGCTAATGACGTATTAATTAGGCTTAATAAATTCGTCTCGCGGTTTACTGACGGATTCTGTAATTTATTTTTTTATTAATATCCGAACACCCATGTGACACCCGGCATGACACCCCAAAACTTTACACCCTATAACTAAATAAGGCCTATGTGTCCCATTTTCCAACAGTAGCCTTCCACAGAAATGCCAAGGCATACAGGAAGCTGAGGATGATGTATTGATACATTCACATCAAACAAAGCAAACACCTCTAGAGAGCTCCCAGAAAAAAAAACCCCATATATTCACATGTCAAATCTTTGCCACTTGATGCAAGCTCAACAGTTTATGCATCACAACTGCTCTGATAGGAGTCTGAGTTTGATTGAGGGCTACATCATTATTTGCTTCCTCTACACCATCAACCCTTGCAACATTAACAAGTGCAAAAGAGAAACCTTTTTTTGTTTCAAGGAACATAGCTACATATATTATCAAGACTATAGACCACATCTTTTTTGTTATAAAATCTATAACCTCCATGCCTATTTGGTAGTCAAAGGGATGTTCTCCCTTCCTCCCCTATATGTTTCATATAGTAACCTCCCCCCGAGTTTCTCCCCAATATTTACATACCTACCATACAAAAGAATGTACTTCCCCCAAATCCCTCCCTACATGCCATCAATGGCGATCGGTACCGTCGTTGGTAGCCCTTCTCGCCCACCTCCCCACCTTGGCAATGCCTTGTCTGTGACTGCTGCAAGACGGACAACAGCACGGCTGTTGTAATGCTTCACATTGCGCCACAATCGTTCGATGCTGGGCATAAGCACTTTCTCGGCCCAGTCTTCAAGCTTCTCGTCAGTGAGCCAGATGCTGCCAGCCATCCGATCAACAGCGTCTTCATCGATTCTGAATGAGTTGCTGCTCCTGATGACTGAGTCGAATTTTGCCGATATGCAATCTGTGACAGTCTTCCTAAATGGTGCAAAGTCAACTGGCCGAAACACAATGGCATCGTCAACGAGATTCAACAGATCACAGTCAGGGGCTGGTGTTGAACACTTGACTGCAAGGTGCCCTTTCTCCTGATCTTGTTCCACAGAGAGATCACTGGAATTCCGTGAGCCCTCAGTGTCATCCAATGCCCCAACAGCTAAATTGAGGTCAAGCGATAGACCATGCCCACCGGACAATTCTTTGGCTACCTTTGCTGGACGAGCATCATCACATAGCCAATCCGCTCGGTGCTTAACCTGCTTGTCCCCAATAGAAAGCTCTAGCTGCCAATTAGAGCTTGCTACCTCAAACATCCTTCCTTCATCTTGGAGCAATGTTTCAAACTTTGGTCTCTTGAGTTCCTCAGGTAACCAATTTGTGGTGAGAACAAAGATGACATTACCAAGGCTGACCTCACGGCCCCGGGAGTCTGGCAGGCGGCCGGTCTCCATTGCACGCTTGATCTTTCCCCGCACAACAGCGTCCACTTGATCAATGCCCTCAAGAACGATAACTGAACATGGATTTTGCCGAACTGCCTCAGTGACCCGGTCAAGTGAGGTTTTCCCCCAGAAACCCGCATTACCATCCTTGCCTAAACGAGAGTCACCACCAAAGTTTATAACCACTGGTTGAGCATTTACCATCTGCTCAGACAATGCATTCACCATCTTCCTCTTGCCTGCCTGGTCAGGACCAACAAACAGGAGCCATATGTCGCCTCTTGTCCCAATGTTTCGCCGCTTCCCACTGCCAGTTCTGCATTGTATTACAACAGCAGCAATTGCTGAGGCAGCATCAGATTGCCAGCTGACCTTCTCTGTGAGCACCTTGAGGAGCCTTTTGAAAGACTCGATATCAGAGATTCCAGCTATCTTAGCCTTTTGCATAGCAGTTAGCCATTCTGTGTAATTTTCCTTCTGGTCTTTCTCCACAGTAGCACCAGGATCCAAGGGACCAAGGGCAAGGTCAGTCTTCACTGGGCTGCCTGGCGGACTCCTACGAAGCTCAGACGTAGGGGTACCCTCAGGCTTCTCCCAGTTGGTGTTCATCTTAAGGGTGGGAACACCACCCCTGGCAAGTTGTAGCTTGGGCTCGACGGGCGGGCGTGGAGCTAAGGCAGCCAACGGCAAGGAGAGAGCTGGCGCCCCAGCACGGTTACCGTGGGTACGGGCGCAAGTCTCACGCCATTTCTTCTCAAGCTCTTCGGCAGCCTCCTTCCGTTTCAACTCTTGTTCCTTGGTCTGTGAAAGCATAAATAACTATATCAATCACCTTTCCATTAGAACCAAAGCTACTTTTACGAGCTAACACAAAGAAAAGACACAAACCTGTGGTTGATCACTGCTGGGCTGCATCCAGTGTGGCAAACCAGGCTTAGCAGCCTCAGAGCGTGACACTGGCTTTTCCTTCTGCTCCGCCACGAGCTTGGCAAGCTCACGATCATAGCTACCCTTGCAACTCAGGCACATGGCCGGCTTAGCCATCAGAGGATGGTCACTCCCCGCCCCTGGTGGCCATCGGAGTGCTGTTGGTGTCAGCGGCATAGGCCGGAGCGTAGGTGATAACATCCCCATTGAGTTGCCCAGAATTCCAGTGCCTCCAGGCCTATAAATTTCAATAAATTGATTAGAAACCTATTGCATTATTAGAAAAGGCACCAAACTTTTTATAGTAGTACTAGCAATCATGATGAACTATTCAACTGTAGTAAATTTTGGTTATCAAGAATAAACTAATTTGATTATTTTACTCTGGTCCAAGACATACTCTGGTCCAAGACAGCGGAAAAACTGATACAAGTTTGAGTCACCAAAAACAATAACAAGAACAGCAGACATGGCAGATGCAACAAAAGGCGAAATAGCGAAGAAAAACACACCTGAGAGCTGCGCCGGCGAGCGGCGCGCTGCGGGCGATAGGCACGGCCTGGAGGTCCCACTCGGCCTCCATGGTTGGGTGGTAGACCTTGCATCGGAGGTAGGTGGCGCAGGCGGCTGTACCGACGGCCCAGACCTTGCGGCTTCCGAACCGCCTCAGTAGCCGCGCCATCTCCGACACGACCGCCTTGCCCCCCTCTGATGCTGCTGCCGCCGGCCCGTCCACCAGCCACTTGAGATCTCCAAGATCAAGAACCACGGCGCCGTGGTCCGCGAGGAGCCTCTGGACCACCGCGCCCAGGTCCCCAATCCTCGCCGCCATGGCGGCCTTGTCGCCGGCGAGCTTGGCGAGGTCCGCCTCGAGCGGCAAGACCTTCGCTCCGGCAAGAGCAGGGGAGCCAGCCGTCGGGATCCTGCGTACCGCCTCCTTGAGCACCGCGTCCGGCCCGGCGTCGCCCACGAGCACCGGGTTGCGGCGCGCCGGCTTGAGCATGACGTCGAGCACCTTGCGCGCGTCGTCCCCGCCGCCGCCTGCGACGGCCGCAAGGCGAGGGTTGATGTAGGCGTTGTCCCCGCCGCCGCCTGCGACGGCCGCAAGGCGAGGGTTGATGTAGGCGTTGTCCCCGCCGCCGCCTGCGACGGCCGCAAGGCGAGGGTTGATGTAAGCGTTGTCCCCGCCGCCGCCTGCGACTGCCGCAAGGCGAGGGTTGATGTAAGCGTTGTCCCCGCCGCCGCCTGCGACGGCCGCAAGGCGAGGGTTGATGTAGGCGTTGGCTGGGCCGACACGCCGGAGCGGAGAGGGGGAGGGGGCCAGGGGTGTAGTCGCGGCGACCGTCGGGGTGGAGACGGCGGCGGAGGGCGGCGGCGAGGGCGACGCGAGCGACTGCTCGATGGTGGTCTTGACGGCTGCGGAGGAGAAGGAGGCCTCGCGCATGACGCGGCTGACGGACGGGTCGTCGAGGATGGAGAGGACGAGCTGCTCGAGCTCGACCTTGACGGCGAGCAGAGGCTGCTGCGCGGCCTCGGGGCACCCCCGACGCTGCTGCGCCTGCGCGCGCTTGAGCGCCGTGACGAGGGCGTTGGACACCGGCGGCCCCGCCGCATGCGCCGCCGCCGCCGAGGCCGCGGCCTGCAGCCTGTCGAGGGCGACGGAGAAGCAGAGCTCCAGGGCGCGGCACTGTAGCGGGTGCGCACCGCCGGCGCCACCAGCGGCGCCAGGTCCGGCACCGGCGGCGGCCGCGCGAGCGCACGCCTGGCGCAGCAGCCCGGCCGGCGCGGCGAGCAGCGCGGCGGCGACGTGGAGCGGCGTGGTCCGGCCATGCCTCCTCCGCGCAGCCTCATCGATGGCCCGCGACAGCGCCGCCGCCGCCTCCGGCGTGAGCGTCTGCTGGATGGTGCTGAGATCCGCCCTCATCGCCGCCGCCCGCCGCTCATCAATCGATCAGCGAGCAACGAAAAAAGAATCCCCTTTTGGTTCGGTGACCAAGAAGTAGTTGTTGCCCGGCGCCGGCCTGGAAGTCGGAGGACGTCGGAGCCTCGGAGCGCGGAAAAAGGAGAGGCTTGGAGGGGAGCGGAGGCGGTGGTATCGAGAGAGAGAGAGAGAGAGAGAGAGGCAGGAAGGAGGGAGTCAGGTGAGGGCAGAGAGAGAAGGTGAGCAGAGAGAAGGGGGAGGCGAATAGAATCTTCGTCTCCTACAACATCTCCCCGACGACGTCGCATTTCATCACCACACCATCTTCTTGGCCCCGTTTGCTCGGCTCAAAAAAAAAAACCTGAAAAACTTATCTATTACGAGAGAAAAATAATGTTTTAGCTGAAAAAATAAGTTGAAAAGTATAGATCATAAGACAAGTGAACGTAGCTCCACACGGTCCAGGGAAGGAGGTGAACAGTTTTTTTTCTTTTATTTTTCCTTTTCTATTATTATTAATTATATGTATTGTGTATATTATACATTTATGTTTTTTACTATGAGGTCTCCTATTTATTTGATCCACTTAATTCAAAAAGTTCAAACTATTAACACAAGACCTAACAAATGGAATTTCACATAAGGCATGTCAGGTGGTTAGATTGACCATTGATATAAATAGCAGATATGTATGTGAGGGCATGAATGATGTATAAATGGAAGCAATCTTTAGTTATTTCTGTAAGCCACAATGTAAACGGAAATTCTAACCAGACGGTCATGAAGCCCTCACAGCCTCGCACGCGGCCGGGGTAGATTGGTTCCTCTTTCTCCTCCTCCTAGATCTGTGATCACTGCAGACGAAGACGGCGATGGCGGTGGCTAGGGTTCCGGCTAGCCTATCGCCCCTCTTTCTTCTCCAACTTCGGCGGCTATAGAAGGGGCCGACTAGGGGGAGGCAAGCAGGCCAGGTGGTGGGTATGGTGGCTGGGCAGTTTAGGGGCCCTGGCGGTGGTAGCGGTGGTCAGGCCAAGTCGGGGCGGGGAGTCTCGCTGGAGATGGAGATGGCGGCGGCCTAGCTCGTCGAGTTGGAGAAGATGGCGGCGGTGGGGAGAGGGGAGAGGGGAGAGGGGAAGAAGGCGACCACCGCTGGCGCTAGGGTTCGCCGGAGCTCCGGTGTGCTAGGGGCGTGGGTGGTGGTCAGCAGCGGGGCGGGGTCGAGGACGAGCGCGGGAACGAGGACGAGGTTCGGTGGTGGAGGGCATGAGGAGGTGGTGGTGGAGGAGGGGCACGGCAGGAGGTTGAAGACGGGTCACGCACTCCCTCAGCGGTCGCGCGATAACTCCCTCCCAATGTAAAGGTCTATTTGTGGACTCTACCTACAATTAAAAAATGCCTCAAAGCCTAATAGGTTCTCCCCTGCAATGATGTCATCTCTTCTACACTTCACCCCGACGCCAGCTACCACTCCCTCGAGTCCTCGACGCTGTCGCTACTTGCCCCATCGAACGCTGCCATCACCCTCCGCACCTAGCGAGCGTAGGCTATAGCCCAAGTCACTACCGTCACCCTCACCCCTGCACATCCACCGATAGGCGTTGTCTGTATCTTCTCATGTGGCCAATGAGCAAAGTTTTGAGGATGGGGCGAGAGAAAAAGTAGAGTAGCCGAGGAAACCATAGCAGCGGCGACAACGATAGGTGAAGAGGCCGGTGAGCCCTCAATAGGTTTACCATATGGCAATGACACTTGTCTTCACCAAGCTCACCTCGTGGCGAGGTCATCAACGGCAAGTGGTCAAGTAGGGCTTGCTCGTCTTCCATGCCGAATTCAGTGGTCGATATGATGTTGCTTTATCTGTAGTGGAGACCACGGGTGATGTATAAAGTCTACAAAATTGTTGTGATCTTTATTCCTTTTCATGTCTTTTAATTGTAAAACTGTTTGTTGAAAATTATGGAAGGTTTCATTATTCAACGACTTTTTAGTAAATACCTTGGATTTGATCCACGTAATTCAAAAAAATCAAATTATTAACACAAGATGACCTAACAAATGGAAGGAACACAAAAGGTATGTCTGGTGGTCAGGTTGACCATCGATAATAATAGGAGATATATATGTGAAGGGCATGAGCGATGTATAAAATTGAAGTGATCTTTAGTTATCGCTATCAAGCCAATGCAAAGGTCTAGTTGTGGGCTCTGCCTACAATTACAAAACGCTTCAAAGCCTAATAGGTTCTCCTCTACGATGATCCTCGTCTCTTCTACACTTCACCTCGGCGCCAGCTAACAATCCCTCAATGTTGTCGCTTCCTGCCCCATCGAACGTTGCATCGCCCTCTGCACCTGGCGAGCGTAGGCTATAGCCCAAGTCACTACCGCCGCCCTCACCCCTGCGCATCCACCCATAGGCGCTGATTGTATCTTCTCCTGTGGCCAATGAGCAAAGTTTTGAGGATGGGGCAAGAGAAAAAGTAGAGTAGTTGAGGAAACCTTAGACTTGAGTTTTACATTTGGGATTATGGTCTGAGTTGGTTCTTGAACCACTACATGCATGTATAAAAACCAAAATCTACAATCATAAACTTCTTCACCGAGCATAGAAATATCTTAGCGGAAAGGTGAACAAAAGATACCCCCACCTGGCATATGCATGCATGCAAAACCATCCAAATCCAATTCACTTTTTATTAGTGACTAGCAAATTTGTCCGTACGATGCAACGGGAGAAAAACTATCAAACGTCCATGAAAAACAACATTGTGAATAGTACATATCTATTTATGTTTTACCATTTCCATAAAATTTAAAAACTAATTTATTTTATGATAATCATAACATCTATAATATAAGCTAATGTTGGTAATAATATGACAACGCCATATTAAGTATCAAATTTATAATGTAATCTTGATAAATTTTTTCTTCCGTTACAAAATATAAAGATATTTCACTACTATTTATGCGTTGATATAATTAAATATCGAGTTCTATGACTTCCTTTGTGGGCCCATAATCAAAGGACTGGTCGGCCAGCTAATGATTATGATGGGAGATATCTCTCAATTCTCCATATGAAAACCCTCATCGGGGATTGCACTGGTACATATGTATAGTTTGGACCGTACCTATAACAATTTGGTCAACATTTGAGTTTATAATTTGATTGGTTGGGCCAAAGACTGAACCATTTAAAATAAGATAAATTTTATTCCTAATTGAAACTACACTATCTTGGTGGTGAATTTTTTTCCTTAAAAAATATCAAGAGTTCAAAAATCTATAAAATTATATTTATTATTTATTTTACTTATTTATGGAAAATCGGATAAAAACAGAATAGGAGATCAAACGGAAAAAAGACTGAGAAGAGGAAACATAACGTGGAGAAAAGAAAAAAGTAAGACGCCAAAGAAAAAACGGAAAACCAAACGTGAAAGAAAAAGAAACCATACGTGCAAAACAAAACTAAAAAGTGGAAAACATGACGTGGGGAAAATAAGACGCAAGGAAGGCCGGCTGCAGCAGATGCCATCTATTGCGCCGCTGGGAGCCAGGGAGAAAAAGCTTTCTTCTCGGCACCTAGGGTTTCCCTAGGCGACTCGAGCGGTTGAGTTGGTGGCGTTTGGATCTTCGTCTCTTCCTCCCTCTTCCTTAATCCTCCGAGTGCACCATTGCCTTGGAGATTCCTTGCCTAGGTTTTCCTCCTGTTCTAACTGCCCTCTGCGTGTTTAGTACAGTTTTGCCCCGTGTGTCCACGAAAACCCCAAAACCCTAGTTTCTGCTAGCCCTTGCACCTTGTGTCCATAGACTTTCGGATCACCTTTGGAGTGTTGGCAGTGCGGAGGTGGGCTCCCGAGTGGGGTTCCAATGGAGGGGGTGGAGGGGATGTTAAAGAAACTGCAACTGCTGTCAGAAGAGAAGAGAAGCATCAAGTTTGAGGCGGAGGCGGGGAGCGGGGAGAATGATCACCCACCTCAGGCGGTCGTGAAGCTGTTCTCGGAGAGGAACATTTGTCCTGATGTCATTAAGCAATCTGTGGGGTGGATCTGGTGTCCAGCGAGGGGAATCTCAGCAAAGATCTTGGAGATAATGTCCTTGATCTCGTTCAACCAGGCGCCGGGTTTGAGGAGGGCGTTGGATGATGGGCCCTGGATGATTTCAAAGGAACTCCAGGTGGTTACGGAGTTTGATGAGGCGAAATCGGTGGATGAATTTGACTTCTCTGTTGTTCCGATCTGGATGCGGGTGGAGCGCCTTCCTCTGGGTTTGATGAATCGGGCAGCAGCTAGGGCGATTGGTGATGATGTTGGAGAGTTCATGGAGTTGGATGCGGATGGAAGTGACTTGGTGGCGGGGAGAGATCTGCGTCTCAAGGTTCGGATGGATATCCATAAACCTCTCCGTCGGGGCATCTTAGCGGATCTAGGACCAGACAAAGGAGATCAGTGGTGCCCGATCACTTATGAACACTTGCCTGATTCTGCTACATTTGCGGGCTGATCGATCATGTGGATCGCGCTTGTTCAAAGAAGTCGGGGAAGGGTGAGAAAGCCCCATACAGTAGGGAGTTGCGGTATATACCACCTCGTAAGCCGATCGGGGGATTTGGAGGATCGGGGTCATGGAGAGTTAGGCGTTCTGATAGCTGGATCAGTGGAAGCAAGTCTCGGTCGGATGGTCCTTCTTGGAGGAAGGATGCAGAGAAGGGAGATGTGAAGGTGATCGAAGGAAGGAAGGATGATGGGGAAGAGGTGACAAGCCCTATAAAAGTGATGCAACTCTCGGAGAAGGCCCCAGGTGTAGTGAGGACTAAGCTGTTTCCAAAGGAGGTGGGCGATGAGCATAGTAAGGGGCACGTGAATAGTCCCATGCAAAAAGCCCAGAATACTCTAGCTGTGAAGAATAAGGAAGGGGAGAAAGATAAATTTGGGGGTAAGTTCAAGAGAGTGAAGAGGGATGGCAAGCGACAGATGGGGGAGACGATCCCAGGGGAGA